TATGTTTTTATTATAATTTAATTTAAGTTTAATAGTAAAATAATTTATTTTTCGTTTAATAATATAATATTTTATAAAGATGATAATTAGTATTCTGTTAGAACTCAATAATTATCCTAATTATATTTTAAATTTTTTATATTTAAAATGAAATGTTTATCATGTATTTGATTATGATTATCTGCAGTTAGTTACACGAATTCAGATATGAAGCTTTAATAAGTTGTACTTACGCACAATTTATTTATAATCTTTAGTTTTAAGTAATATGCATTAATAAACAGTACATTACACATAAAAAATGGCTTTTAAGAGTTTTTGTCAAATGCTTTAGAATATAATATATATTACTTTCAAATTTTTATATTGTTGAAAATATATTAAAAATATTACTCTTACATGGTAATTATTTTTCGGTAATCTCTATATTTAGAGGAAAAAACCATTTTATTTCCTACTTTTTTAATTTTAGAGATACATTTAGGGAATCTATTGGAACTCAAATTCATTTTAAAATCTCTATTTTTATCATTTTTTTTCTAATTTAAAGAATCTATTAGAGATGCTTTTATGGAATAAGTGTTTAAGGGTTGTCATTGACCTTACAGGCTGAGTATGGAAATGATGAAATTCTTGTCTGTTAAGAGGTATAGCTAGGACTGAGAATTTTACTCAGTAAGTGAATTTGAAGACTTTATCTGATTAATACTTATGGGGTAAGAGACAGTTACCAACAATTTATTTTGATAGCCGATAATGTTATTTGATAAAGTAAGTGAGAGCAACGACTCTTATTAATAAGTGTTCAGTAAACGATCCTTTAATTCCGAAAGCACATTATATTTTTTGCAATTGAAAGAACGTAATATGTTTTTGATATACTTAGAGAGAAAATTATTTTAACTTTAAATAATTTTTTAAAATATTTTATTGTAAACACCGAAATGGAATTTTTGAAATTGGTTTTTCAAAAATAAGAATCGAAACAAGATATGTCATATTTTTTATGCAATTTGCTTATTATAGAAGTATGCCTTATTTTATCTAAGTATCGTTAGCTTTAATTGGTGTGGGTCCAAAATGTGTAGTGATGGGGGGTCGGAATTTTGTGATTTCTCGTTGTTAATCATTAAAGCTCAAATTTAAGTTTTGACATGCTACTGTAGCCTCTCATATTTTTTACAATGATGACCAGTTATAACATAAAAAGAATCACAATAATAGCAGCAATAGGAGTCCGTAAAAAATTATCTTTTAAGCATGAAGTACTGTTTATTGATGCATATTACTTAAAATTCAAAATTGCAAGTAAATTGTGTGTAAGTACAACTTATTAAAGCTTCATGTTTAAATTCGTGTAACTAACTACAGATAAACATAATCAAATAGAGGATAAATATTTCATTTTAAATATAAAAAAATTTAAAATATAATTGAGATAATCATTGAGTTCTAACAAACTACGTAATCATTATCTTTATAAAAAAATTATATTATTACTTCGTTACTAAATCTAAATTAAATTATAATAAAATATTGAGTTAAATAAATTACACAAAAACATCTACAGAGACGGAATAAAACGAAACACTAAAATCGAAATATATCTTGCTGCATTGCGCAAATACCCTTCTAGTCTTTTTTTTTAAATACAAATATTCCTCCTTAATCTTAAAAATTATCGGTTAATAAAAAGAAATAACAATTAGACATCACCAAACACACTCTAACACTTGGCCATTAACTATTAATAAAAAAAACACCTAACAATTGTATGTCAACTAATAAACTCTAAAGTGTCGTTTATCAAATGCTATCCGGGTAAATGTTTACCGGCAATATTCAACATTATCACTTACGTACCAGAAAAAAAAACTTTAATCCACCAAAATGGTATCAAATGCAACAATTTACCCGGTAAGCACCAACCATAGTAAGAGTCATCGCTCTACTTACCGGGTCTGTTTTTGTTCTTATAAAGTAAGATTCTTGGTACTCACTATATTTATTCGGGAAGGTAATGTTACTTGATAAACGCTCACCCAGATAAACGTTTACTATACGGTCCCTAACTCTAACGATTAATAATTAACAATTAACATCTATCGATAAACAATAATTAGTGGTTTGAGTTTAAAATTATTGTGCTAATTTTTTATAGGCCTATAATGTTGAACTTTTATAGGCCTAAAATTACTGTGCTAATTTAAACCCCACAAGTACTTCTAAGCAATAAAGCATTCACATTTGAAACATAATATCAAAAATTGTTGATTAATTATGTTTAATATAAAGAAACACAAATTTTTAATAACAACAATGGGTAAAAAGTAAATTACCTGTAATCTCAACCGATCCTGCTTTAGAAGACAACAATGTAAGGGTATGATTTTTTTGGCTCACTCAGCGGCTGATGTTAACAGGGGATCCGGGATGGAACTCGAGACCTCAGTGGCAAATCCGGAAATATTTATGATTGGGGCACACTTACGGGTGTCGAGAAAATTCTGAAACCAAATAACTCATTCAAATCAAGATGATTTTAGGTTATTCGGTTTTCGAGTTAAACGATTTAATTAATCGAATAAATGAATGTATTAGTTCCATTTTTAATTATTATTTTTAATTATTTCGGTTAAACCGAATATTATATTGTTATATATCTATTTTACTATTCGGTTAAAATGAAAAGCATATTACACATTAGTAAAAAAAATGCAACTTATTCATAATGAACCAAGCCACTGAAACGAACTTGTAGTAAATCAACATATTGGCACTTGAGAGTAAACTAGTTTTGTAATAAACCTAATTAAAAATAAATCAAAATACTTAATTGTTAACAAACATATAAATTAAAGTTAGTAATAATTAGCAATAAATCAAAGCGGAAGGGACCGGCAAACCGAAATCAAAATAACAAACTACATAAACCTAAATTAAATAACAATTAATAATGAAAAATTAATAGCTAACAAATAACACATAACAATAGCTATCTATACTATATTATAAAACATTTGACAAAAACTCTTAAAAACCAATTTTTATGCATGAAATATTGTTTATTGATGCATATTACTTAAAATTCCAGACTACAAGTAAATTATGCATTAGTACAACTTATTAAAGCTCCATGTTTGAATTTGTATAACTAACTGCAGATAAACATAATCAAATAG